GTGATGCTAATGTAATTGAGGTGATAAGGCGGTCACAGTAGTAACACGTGACACTCAGGGCCAGCTGAACCATAACCCAAACAATACCCAATATCCCAATACACAAAGCCTTGAAAAAAACGTAATGCAGATTCACGAGTTGTCCCAATACACGAAAGTTGTGTTTTGTGAGTAGGCTCGGGTAGTATTATTGTGGGCATGAGATTTAGAGTCTATTTTATTAGATGATCTTGGAATGTTCGTTGCGTCACTGACTTACCGGTCTAACCGCCGGATCCAATCGGAATGTGACAAACAACACAATGGTGAAGCATGTAAGTTTGTATGGTTGGGGACTCGTATGTATCTTTATATAAGCCAATATCAGATCATGGCCGACAATTAAAGTACGTAAGTATGTGTATCTTTGGTCAAAGATGATTGGTCATCACTCACAAAACATGTCAAAGCTATATTGTCAGTGGACGCACGACGCATGCATTAATAATCAGGTCTTGGTTATTTTAAGGGTTTTTTTTTTCTGAATTTAGGACCCATTTAGTTCATCGGAGTAAGGGTCTGGAATCCGATTATTTTGATTTCAATTGTGTGGTTGGGCAGAATTTTAATTTCATTCTCATTCTTAATGGAATGGCATTCCTATATTTAAGGAAACTAGTAAGTATGCATGCACTTTGCATGCGATAATTCTAGACGATGATAATAATATTAATAATGAATCTAAAAATTTTTATAAATACATATTTTTATTTTTTTGTCTTTATTATTAATCGGATGCATATTAAAAAATTCAATCTGATTACATAAACATCTCATTTAAATATGTGATAATCGGATCGACTTGTGATTTTCAAGTATCGTTGACAAATCTATCTAATTGGTTAGATTCTTCTTTTTATAATATTTTATCTTTTTGGTGTTTTTTTGTTCATTTATCAAAAAATATAGGATTTAAATAGAGATAATTGAATGGTGTGAAAACTAGTAGTTCAATTTACAATTTAAACATCACAATTAAATAGAGACTACATTAAAAAATGAGTATTTTAGTCAAAAGAAAGTTTCACAATCTTATTTATATTTTTAATAGTAGTGTAAATATAGAATTATAGATGTGTTCAATTTTTTCTATATTTTTTTTTTGTGTTTTTGTGTAAAAATAATTTTGATATGTCACACTTACTTTTTGTTTAATATGATAATTAATTAAAATTCTATATATGTGCCAAAATGTTTTTTGCAACATTTATGTATTTTTATATTTTATTAAATTTTATTATTTATCAATGACATTAAATGTTAATACATTTGACCCAAAAATTAAACTATTGATCTTTGCCAAATGGTAAAATAATTTCATTTTTGGTCAGTTCTAAAGTATGTATTTCATTTTCATTATCAATAAAATAATTCCTTTTATTACACTTATTTTTTTAATTTGATTAATAAAATTATCATAAACATGTCTACTTTTTTCTACATTTTTGTAATTTTCTATGTTTATTTCTATTTTAAAAATTTTATTATCTAGCTATGACTTTATAGGTTTATCAATTTGATTCGAATGGTTGAATTGCTTAGCCATAACTTGGATAAAGAATGTTTTTGTTTTTTAGTCAGTTTTAAAATATATGGGTTTATATTGTTAAAATATTGATATAAATTTAACCAGTACCATTTATTGGTGAAAAATAACTTAAAATATATGATTTAATAAGAGAAAATGAGAGTTAATACCTTAAGTATAAAGCTTAAGGAAAGGGGATTAAATGAGGTGAAAAGTAATAACTGAAGTTCATTTTCAACCCTTATAATTAGAGATAAATAGACAAATATAGGCATTTTAGGAGCTATCAAAAGTTGGCACTAAAGTTGTAAAAAATGACTTTCATACCCTTTATCGAACAAAGAAATAGAGGGTAATTTTAGTCCAAGAAAACTTCCACTTTGCATCTACACTTTTATATATAGTATAGATCTTTGTTCTTTCGTTCATTTAACAGAAAAATGTAAGATTTAAATAAAGAGAATTGAATAAGGTAAAAAGTAGTAGTTCAATTTGCATTTTGAACCTTATAATTAAATAGGGACTTAATTCAAAAATGAATATTTTAGTCAATGTTTTAAAAATTGGACCAAACCGGACGGTCGAACCATTTTGGCTCGAGAACTAGTTAGGTCACTAGTCCCGTTTTGGCCTTGAATCACTATTTTACACAAAAAAAAAAAAAAACTGTTGAAATGGTGGGAGAACTACTGATCCAAACAATTTAGCTGTTAAAATGTTCAACCCAGTTAACTATTCTCGGGTTGCTTTCAAACTAATTCCAAATTTTTTATTTATTTTAAAAATAGAAATTAGAAAATAACACTGATCTTATATTAAAATATGAGATACAAAATGAATCAAATGATTTGGGATTTGAGAGAGATTTAGATAGATAAGAGAGATGTAAGAAGAGGGCAAGCAGTGTTGTAGCGATGGTTGAAACATTGACTCGAAAATCGGAAGCTAAAGCGATTCCATTTTTGGGTTGGTTTTTAAAACATTGATTTTAGTCAAAAGAAAATTCTACATTCTTATTTATATTTTTAATAGTAGTGTAAATATAGAATTATAAATGTGTTCAATTTTTTCTATATTTGTTTTATATTTATGTGTAAAAATAATTCGGATATATCACACTTACTTTTTGTTTAATATGATAATTAATTAATATTATACATGTGCCTAAATGTCTTTTTGCAACATTTATGCATTTTTTTTCATTTTTGTATTTTTACTTTTTATCACTTTTTATTATTTATGCCATTAAATGTTAATACATTTAACCCAAAGGTTGAACTATTGATCTTTGCCAAATAGTAAAATAATTTCATTTTTGATCAGTTTTAAAGTATGTATTTTATTTTCATTATCAATAAAAATAGTTCTTTTTGTTACACTTATTTTTTTTAATTTGATTAATAAAAGTATTATAAATGTGTCTAATTTTTTCTACATTTTTGTAGTTTTCTATATTTATTTCTATTTAAAAAATTTTATTATGTAACCATGACTTCATATATTTATAAATTTGATCCAAATGGTTGAATTGCTTAGCCATTACTTGGATAAAGAATGCTTTTGTTTTTTAGCTAGTTTTAAAATATATGATTTTATATGATTAAAAATATTGAGATAGATTTAATTAGTACCATTTATTGGTGAAAAATAACTTAAATATAGAATTTAATAAGAGAAAAATGGGAGTTAATACCAAGTATAAGACTTAATGAGAGTGAATTAAATAAGGTGGAAAGTAATAATTAAAATTACATTTTCAACCCTTACAATTAGAGATGGATTAAATACATAAATATGACTATTATAATCGCCATTAAAGCTGACATTAAAGATGTAATAAAATGACTTTTATACCCTTTCTCAAACAAAGAAATAAAGAGTAATTTTTATCCAAAAATAAATTTTCACGGTACATTCATTTGTTTATATATAGTATATATAGATGATCATTCGTTTCCCTTCCATTGAGAATACAATTCTATTTCAACTTATTTCAATTTCCATTGTCAGAACTAAACAAATAATGGAGACTGATTCCTATTTTGATTCTAATTCCAACTATTAAGTGAATAGACCCTTAAAAATCTATGATATAAGAAAGATATGATACTGAAAAACTTTAGCCAAACAAAGTACTCTCTTGAATTTTGATTAATACCACCAAATTGTCGTGTTCTATTCTCCATCTCTGGTTCGTTGCACGTAAAATGGTGGGAAACAAACTATTTCTACAGAAAAAGCAAAACACTATTCTTATATCGTTTGGCTGCACGTGTTTTTTTTTTTTTTATAAAACAAAAAGATTTTCATAGTAAAAAAAATGGTGGTTATATGAAAATGGTATTCCTATTCAAGATTATTTTCCAAATCGGCAAGTAAAAAAAGGTATTTTTCAAATCAAACGGAAAGAATTGAGGATAATTATATTTTTCTCAATTATGATACTAGATAAACATGATAATGGAAAAGCTTATAACCAATCAACCGTCATTATAAAAATATTAATAAATTAGGTTTGACTATGATATATGGAAAAGATATGGTATTGGAAAAACAATTAATCAATAAACTGAAATTAACAAATAATGTATTATTTATCAAAAACTCTAGGGCTAGCAAGTCTGGTTTGGATTGGGCCTGGGTCGAATTGGAGCAGACCCAACAATTACAACTAAGGATCCAGAACAGAATCAAATCTGATAGTGGTCTGTACTTTTAGACCTAAAACTGAACCAATTGGTTCTTAGGATAATTGGATCTGACCCGATCATATTAAACCTATCAAAAATATTATATATGTATTATTAATTTAAAGTATATGGGAGATTGGGTGGAACTAGTTCCAACTTGATAAAAAATCGAGACAATATATCCAGAACCAAAACTTGGAACCAGAACTGACCCCAATCAGTTCAGGTCCAACCCCGATCCAAAATCTCTCTGTGTCATGTCTTTTCTGGCATCATAGATTTTTCCTTTAGGCTGCGCTTGGAAGTGATGTAAAACGTATCGACGTAAAAATTTACATCAGTTCAGTTTTATCAGCATTTACATAGACTATGTTTTACATCGCTTCCCACAATCGTTCTGTTTCCATGACCACCAAAAAGACCCGACCCGTTTGAGACGGTAAAATAAATAATGATGAGGGTAAAATCGTAATTTGGATCTTTCAGGCTCTGACGGCACAAAAAATATCTCTAACACTTGGAAAACGAGGGGTGGCCAAAAGAGAAAAAGAGAAGCTTCGGCCTCGGTATTGGATGAGTTGCAGGCGATTTCGATTTCGATTTCGGTTTTAACTTTCAACCCCAACCGAAATCAAAAACAGAAACTTCTCGTCTTTTTCTTTTGACGGAAATAAAATAAACAATTAATTAATTAGGTACTTCAATTTTGTTTGGGTTTGACAATAAATAACATCTGGATGATTTCATTTTTGAATGAAGAAAGCTATGAATGCGGTGGGATTCGTCTTTCCTTCTCCCCCTTTCTCTTTCCCGAGTCTCCTCTCCGAGCCTTAACGACTAAGGAACTAAGCATCCATTTTCGTTTGCTTCGGTTTTATATCTGGTTACGATCAACCACACCTCCTTTTATTCCATTTTATATATTTCATTGTTCTCTTCTCAACACAGAATAGGAACAGGAGGGAAAATAAGGAAAAAGATGGAGTTTTATGATTACCCATCTTCGTCTTCTTCTCATTTTTCGTTCGGAGTTTGGGTTGAAAGAGTAAGAGATATTTGTAGTTCCGCTGTGACAACAGTTCTTGGGAACCTCGTCTCTGCAATTTTCACCTTCTTTTTTGCAATGGGTTAGTCTCTTCTCGATCATCTCGATCCCCTTTATTAGTTTTTTTTTCCCAGAATTTGTTAGCTAAATATAATGACTAAAATGAGGTTTGCTTTCGATTTCTCCCTCAATCTTGTTCTTAAAAGAATTTCTTGAATTCGTTCAATCGGCTATGAACTATTAAGTGGGTCCAGGTTCTGCCTCTGTTTTTGTTTTATTATGTTTTCTGTTTGTTTGGTTCTGTTTTGGTGAATTAGAATTTGGCTTGATCTCTGGTTTGAAATTATGGGAGACAATTTCTCCCCCTTTCTCTAGAAGGGTGATTTTTCTAAAAATAAAAGTCTCATCTGGGTGTTATCTTGGCTGAATTTGAAACATAATCACGAAGAAGAAACAGATTTTAATATCAACAGAGCATTTTCGATTTTTTTGCCCTCTTTGGCATGTGAACAAAGGGTTTTCTCAAATTTGTTCCCAATGGAATAAGTCTCTTCTCCCCTCTTTTTGTTTTTTTTTTTTTTCAGTGGGTTGTACATTAGGAGCCTTGACAGGAGCCTTGATAGGCCAAGAAACAGAGAGTGGGTTCTTCCGTGGAGCCGCAGTTGGAGCCATCAGTGGGGCAGTTTTCTCAATCGACGTCTTCGAGTGTTCTCTTGATCTCTGGCATAATGACGAAACAGGAATTGGATGTCTCCTCTTCCTGGTAACTCATTTTTTTTATTTAGAAACAAAAATCGGGATTCAATGGTGGAAAAACAGTGAATTTTATCTTGAAATTCGATTTATTCTGCACAGGTTGATGTCATTGGAAGCCTCATAAGTGGAAGACTGGTTCGGGAGCGGATTGGTCCAGTGATGCTGAAAGCAGTACAGAGTCAGGTACATAACCGAGCTGTTGGAGTGGAAACAGCAAGGAGGTGAGCGGTGACCTGTGAATGATAATTCGCTTACAGTTTGGTTGTGTTTGATCAGATACGTGCTAGAGAATCGAGCTTCGACGAGGTTTCCAACATCTTCGAGACCGGCGGGACCAGAGGGTTGTCCGGAGATTCAGTTGAGAAGATCCCAAAGATCAAAGTCACAACCAACAACAATGTGGACTCCTCCGGGGAGAAGATCTGTTGTTCTGTGTGCCTTCAGGTTTATCCTTCGTTCTCCCTTCACATCAACTCATCTCTGTTTTCCCTAATTATTCAACGAAAAACTGAAACGCTTATTCAAACTTTTGTATCCATGTTTCTGATTTTCAGGACTTCCAGCTTGGAGAGATTGTTCGAAGCTTGCCTCACTGTGGCCACATGTTTCATCTACCTTGCATTGACGAATGGCTCGTCAGGCATGGCTCTTGCCCATATTGCAGAAGAGATCTGTAATACTCCTGGTGTGAATTACACGATAAAAATATAAAATAGAGTTTTATTTGTTTATTTTTTTCATTGATTATTGTCTGAATTTTTAGATTTTAGATTTTACATCCAGTTTTCTCCCCTTGCCACCTTTATGACTAGTCCAGAGTTACCGTTTCATGACCACGATATTGACCGTTGTCAATAAAAGCGATTATGTATAAAATAAATTGAGCTTTTTTTTTTCCCTTTTTTTTGTAGTTGCTTCCATGCAAATATTCAGAATAAATTGCAGTATATAATTTCAGCTTAATCTTAATAATAAACCTTGGGAAATTACCATAATTTTCAATTGGAAGTGGTCTTGGATTTTTGACTTGTATAGATTACAAACAGCAACCACCATCCCTACTGTCAAGGTTCTCATGGATTTTGCTGATAACTCAAAGAAACCATATGAATAAAACATTGTTGTAAATTGCAAAACCCAGGAAGCAACCGAGTTATTAATTTAATATAGACCAAACCTGATCCTACCAACCGAGTTATCTTTCTGGGCCATCCCGTCGAAAGGTCGTCACCGACTTGACTCTCTAGCAGGTGTAATGTTTCGAGGGATTTTAGCCTTTTAGGGGCTTTTGCACCGTTCTTCAACTTTATTGAGTTGAACGAAACAGCAGACTTTATGGCAACAATATTCGAGTATTGATTGATATTCACAGCAAGAGGAAAACAAAACAATGGATGGCTGGATGAATACCAACAGGCAACAGTCCCCCAACAGTGTGAAATGCTAAAAATTTAAAAGAAATTAGGCCCCGTTTGCCTTGCAGGAAAAAGGGGTCTAGAACTGGAATTGGAATATTCTAACTGTTTGGTTTGATGGAATCGAGATCCCATTCCTGCTGGAATGGCATTAGGGAATGGCCATTCCCTCCCTCTCTTGAGAATAAAATCTGATTTCAACTGCAAAACAGACCCTTAGATATTAAGAGTTGAGTAAATACACGAGACCGAACAAAGCGAGTGGCTGAGTTTGAGTCAACTGACCAGAACCCCGGGCGATGGGAGGGAGGCCGGACCTACACTACACCAGCCCATTTACAATGCGTGATGCGCCAATGCCCCAAGGCTGCAACCCCATGGAAACCGCCGGTCACAGACGCCCAGTAAGCCATGATCCCCCTATGTCGCCCAAATTGTTGTGACCAAGTAACAATTAACAATTAATTCCTAATTCCCAATTTCCAATTTCTACGGGCCCCTTTATTAAATGATCAGGACAATCTTTCTCTTTGCCACCCTAGTGAGTTAATTGCCAGTCTTGATGTCTTGTTGGGTGAATGAACAACTCCAAAAGCTTAAAGCAAATAATAATATTTCTTTTTTCAAGTATTCCAGAATTGAATTACTCCAAAATTTAGACCTTGAAAGTAACTAAAACGCCAAAATGTGAAGTGCCCTGTAATTAAGCAAGTCTTGGTCTGTTTGGTTTGCAGTTGGAATTGAAATCCTTTGGAATCAGAATTAAAATTAAAATGGCCTATTCCCATAATCTGTTTGGTTGAAACAAGAATTGAAATAAAGCTGAAATGGGTTTTCATTCCAAAGGATGTTGGGAATGGCCATTCCCTCTAGAATGCCATTGCACCAAGAATAAGAATGAGATTCCGGTTCAACCCAACCCAACAGTTGAAATTGGACCAATTCCAGACCCCTATTCCCGCAAACCAAACAGGACTTTAGTTCTAGATGGCCATTACATGGTGCAATGGAAAGATCTCAGGCTACCAGGCGGGAGAACGTGGGTTCCAGTTGAGTGGTTATGCAAAAAATGCCAAAGGTTAAAACCGTATCCAGTCCATCCCTATCAAAGGCCCCAGATAACTGGGACCTACATTGGGTAATGGCCTTTAGTTCTAAATGACGGGACGGGCCAATACAGATAAGGGTAATGGCCTGGTGTTTGGATGTCTCAATTTAAAACATTGCTTTTAAGCTGAACTTTCCAGATAAGGGTGACATGATAGATCTTACTAATCAAGATAATAAAGAAGCGTGTCTACAGTAAGGGACAAATTAGATCATTGCTCTTAAGCCGAACTTCCCAGATAAATACAGAAGCATGTCTACACTCTCTACACTTCTACAGTGTTAGCAGGAATCTCTAGTAAAGGGCAAATTAAAGCAATTAAGATGCAGACTAAACCGAGTAGGTGAATATGCAAATTCCTGAGATGAAAACACAGGTATTGAGTAGGCGAAGTGCATGCTAACTGCCAAGACATAGGGAACCAAACAAACATGACATTCAGTAAACACTAGTTCCTGTCTTCCCGAGGCTTCAATTATTATGCCATGCCCATTCAATATATCTGGGTAGCAAAAATATATAAATACAAGTAGAAATATTACAGAAGCTAAATGGTTCTTCATAAAAGAATATCGATGACTAGAAACCTAGATGAACAGCTTTAGTAAGGGGGCTTGAAAGAGCCCCCTCATTTATTCACCTGGTACTGACAAGCTATGCAGCCTATATAGGAAAACAAGGGAGAAAAAAGAAAAAAAAAAAAACTGGGGAGCTTATACTAAAGAAAAGAATTTCTCAGTGAAACTAGAGAAAAGGAGTTTGCTTGCTATTATCAGTTGGTTGCATCTCGACTGTAATATTGGTCTAGGGTCTTTGCTGGTATACGGTGGAGTAGTTCACGGGGGAAGATGCGAAGCAGTGTCCAAGCCAAATCAAGTGACTGGAAGATATTGCGGGTATCATAGGCTCCTTGAGTTACGAACTTCCTCTCGAATTTGTCTAGAAATTCCAGATAAAGCTGTTTTTGCCAGGACAACTAATAGTTAATATTTCCACAATACAAAAAGGAAACTGCATGTGTTGTTCGTGTGTGTGTGTCAGAGAGAGAGAGAGACCAGGTCCTCCGAAGAGAGTGCTTCCTCTCCAACCACAGCTTTCATTGCCTGTACATCCTTTCCAATAGCATAATTTGCATATAGCTGAACACCAAAACAAATAAACAAGTAAATAGACAAAAATATGAAATAAAACAAATATAAAATGAGCTCCCAAAGTTTCACCTAGATTTCCAAATAATTGAAACTTTGTACAGGATTTCCATTTTTTTCCCAAAATTGAACAGTCTTGAATTCTGAGTCCAAGATGTAGTACAGTACATATTAAGACTCAAATCTGACCTGGTTGGACACATCAGCATGGTCTCGGCGAGTCATTCCCTCTCCAATAGCACTCTGCAATAATTAGCAATAATAGAATAAGATAAGCAAATTTTAGCCTCTCCATTTTTTTATAAATATGAGTTTACGTAAGAGTTGTATGGAACAGAGTCCTACATGCCAATTGAGACTAAAAAACAAACCAGAGCTTTGCTCATAACAGCTTACCTTCATTAACCGTGAAAGTGATGGAAGGACATTAATTGGGGGATAAATCTGTTTAAAAGCAATAAAAAAATTCAGTTCTAAAATTAATTGAATTCTTCACGCAGATTAATTTCAAATGGTTAATTAAATATCATAAGATTCAACTCAAAGCTGAGAAGTTGAGCAGTAGTTAATACAGAGAACTGTTTACAATTAGACCAAGCCAAGAGTCCAATTATTAACAAACCCACACGATACACTAATATATACACAAACCATGACTTTCTGGCAAATCACAATATATTCAAGGTTATAGTTTGCTAAGACTTTTAACTCAGTTCACTAGCCCCCCCCCCTTCCCCCCAACATACACACCCACACCATACACTGATATTATACACAAACCATGACTTTCTGGCCAAATCACACTATAAACAAGGTTTTACTTTGCTAAAACTTTGATTGTTTCCAAAATCCAAAATATTCTAGGAGACACAGTTGCAACAACTCCTTGTTATTCAAATGGCCCAGATCCAGGAATTTATGTTGTTAAGACATTACTATATAATGTGTGCCTTATCTAATGACCTCATAACAGGTAACTGCCAATTCATTGCAGTCTCAAGGAGGTGAAAAAGGATAAAGCTGGTCCAGGAACACTGGATTCCAACAATAAAGAGGGGAAGATTGCCCTAAAGAATTGTCTTCATTGGGATTTAGTTCAGCAAAACTTGCCACAGTAGGCTGACTTTTGGATAATCAAGTTTGAATCAAGCAAATTCACAACATATATCATGCCAACATTAAACTGAAAGAATGAGTTATATCAGTGGGTCAGGTAAAGATTTGCTGTCCCTAGCCTTGAGGTTCCCATGCTGGTTGTGGATAACTCTTAGTTGCATAAATGATGAACTTTTCATTCACTATCCCAATTATATTAAATGAAGAACCTTTAGTTGTATAGCCTTACCTGCCTATTGTGAAGCTGTCTATCAATGTATATCTGCCCCTCAGTAATGTAGCCTGTAAGATCTGGTGTTGGATGTGTTATGTCTGTCCATCCACAAGAGAATGAGATGTATCAGTGTTTGCACACATGAAAACAAGGATGCATAGCAGCATTTTGTGCATGTGGATAGGGATCCTGAGAATGACAGCAATACCATCATTAGGCATGGTTAGAATAGGTATTTGTGTGATGGAGCCTTTTCGTCCTTCAATACGTCCAGCACGTTCATAGATTGTTGCCAGATCAGTATACATATACCCAGGGTAGCCACGCCTTCCTGGCACTTCCTCTCGGGCAGCAGATACCTGTGTGCAAAATTGATGGTTTGTTTAATACATATTTAATACATTGACAGTACTCAGAAAACATAGTGGCAGTTATGAAACACTTGATGAATTAAGTCCATGAAGTATTAGGTATTATGAGCTTGTGATTTGGTTGCTGGTAAGCTGGATTTACATTGCAGGCTCAAAGGTGAACAAAATTCACAAAAAAAGTTGCATATGATGAGAGGATTAAAGTTCCACATGGATAATATATGGCATATAAATACATGCAACCATCCATCAAGGTTGAACACATTTTTGTGATCTGTCATTAGGCAGAATATTCCCAATTGCATATGTAGATCATCCAAGGCATCAGGGTTCATATCTCACAACACAGATGTGAGAGCTAGGGTCCCACAAAATACCTCAAGCCAAAACTGAAAAAGGTGGATGAGAAACATGCAGATTGAAGCCAATCCACCTTAGCTTAAGCTTGATATCTATGCACCATGAAGATGTTGACCATTTGCAAATAGTAGAGACAAAAACCACTACGAATTAAGGAACAATGACTTTGATCAACAGCCATATAAAACAAGGACAAAATAGGTAATATGACATGAAAAATTATTCGGCCATGCTTTTTTTTTTTTTTTGTAATTAGCATTCTGTGACCATAATTCAACAAATTATTTGGTTATTGATAAGGCAACTATTAAGTTATAACACAAATTAGTGGGATTACTTAAGTCACTGCCATTACTTTCAGAAAGACACTCTACTAAGTGACAAAATAAAATAAAACATATATTAACCTCACGGAGTGCATCTGCATAGGAGCTCATATCTGTTAATATGACTAGAACATGCTTCCCACATTCATACGCCAAATATTCCGCAGTGGTTAAAGCAATTCGAGGAGTAATAATACGTTCAATGGTGGGGTCATTTGCCTGTTCAATGAGCATATCAAAATAGTAACACAAGGAAGAATACTTCACCAATTTCAAATATCAAATTAATAATCATAAAAAAGAGTTAAAAAGAAATAACATCACAACAAAAGGTCAGAAACATGATGACAATACCAGGTTTAAGAAAAGGGTCACTCTCTCCATTGATCCATTTTCCTCAAAATCACGTTTAAAAAACTGTGCCGTCTCCATGTTTACTCCCATAGCTGCAAAAACAATGGCAAAATTGTCCTCTCCATCCTGTAAATTCATGAAATTGGATAAATATGATTGACTTTCATCCTCCAGGAAAACAAAGCTAGCTGTGGAACATGGTGTACCCGGAAGAGCGGGGGGGGGGGATAGTTGCCGCACAAATAACTACATATAGCATTTCAACTTTTCCAATTAAACATGTTTACAAATCCTGGATCATTAGAACCGGTAAAACTATTTCGGTTTTGACACAGGATAACCAAATTCTGGCAGAAACTACAATAAAAGAAGACAGGGAACAACAATTGCTTCTTAAATAACAATATACAATACCGTTTAACTTTTTTGCCGGTTGGAATTAATAATCTATGGGTGCAAATTAGGTACCTGGTTTGAAGAACTTCCTCAGGTCCAGCCCCCTTTCAAGTTTTAAGAAATTCTCAACCCAACCCAATTTGTGCCTACTTCCCTTACAATAATCATGCTACTACTTTTAACTTAAATTGACACGGCCCACGGGTAACCAACTTTTGACAGAAAATACTACCAAATCTTTCCCATAACCAGAAGATTTGAAATGAAACTTTTGTATTTACACACATCTTCAATAGAAACAAGTTCTTAACAAACTGCTCTTAAAAATCTAACTTACAATGCAAAACTAAACCATTTGCAAAATCAAATAAGTTACACTTTCCTAGCTCTTAGTCATTAAATGATTTACTTGATTGTAATCAAATCTTATAAATGTTAATGCACCAAGCATACCTCCATGAGATTCCCAGACTTCTCCAACCGCTTCACAAGACCAGCCTGACGACATATCTGAGCAGCTATTTCATTATGTGGAAGACCAGCAGCAGAAAATAGAGGGATTTTCTGTCCTCGAGCAATGGAATTCATGACGTCAATCGTAGAAATCCCTGTTTGAATCATCTCTTCTGGATATGTTCTCTCACTGGGATTGATAGAACTCCCTAAAAAACACAGCATATTACAGGATATGTGGCAATAGCAGAAATTTCAAGGCATAATAGCTAGAAATTGACAATACAAAAACAATTCCCTGAAATAACATACCAGAAATATCCAAATAAGCCTCAGGCAAGATGGGAGGCCCATTATCAATTGGTTTTCCTGATCCATTAAAGATACGACCAAGCATATCCAGAGAGACAGGAGTCTTCAAAACCTGCAAAATGAAATTTTGAAGTATATCAGAACCAAGGAAAACTAGTCCTGTCTTTATCCTTAAGTCTCCAAAAATGCTAGCTTTGAGGTCAATCCAAAATACAAACCTATTCTGTTAGTCATAGAAATGTTTTAAAAACCAGATCAGTTGGATTGTTGGATCAAACTGGTGCAGGACACATTTTCAGTTTGGTCCATAACTTGGCCCAAAATGGTATAAGCACAAAAGAGTCCCAACCATAAAAGATCAATATTTCCAACGGTTACAAACCAAAGCTGCAAGATGGAGGAGGAAAGGTTCGTAGAAGCTGCAAGATGGAGGAAAGGGATGAAGATTGAAGCAAAATATTTAATTTTCGAAGAGAAAGGATCAGAGGTTTGCAGAGCTTGAAGATTAGGGAGGCAAAGAAAGCCACAGTACTGCTGGAAGGTCTTGAAATGATCGATTGGATGCAGAAGTTTGTTTTGGGAGCAAGTTCTAAAGGTAAACAAATGAACTTTATGGAGTTCAACTTAGATGGAAGAAAGAGATATGAGCTGGATTGTAAAAAGAATGCAAAAGGATGCTACATAACTCTGCAAGAATTCTTTGGAGGAAGAAAGAAGCAGTCAGTTTGCTTCCCAGAAGGTAGAAGGGGTCATCGATGGAAGCTAGTGGCAGAGTTACTGAGTGATTTTGCTCAACAGCTGAAAACAGAACAAATAGAAGCTGTAGCAAAGGAAAAGAAAGTAGGTAAACAAAATAGAGAGGAAGAATCCAATGACAGGAAATGGGTGATTGCAGAAAAAGGAAGAAGAAACTGTAAATTGGTAGCAACAGGAGGAAATGAGGACTGGGGGAAGAAATTTGTGGTGGAAACTTCAAGCCCACCAAAGAATTGGAGGGGTATTGCGCAGGTGATACTCAAAGAATTGAACCTGCCAAAGCTGATGTGATTACACCTTATGAATCTTGTAAAGCTCTGATTGATCTGGGTGAAGTTGAAGTAGAGATATCAGCTTTAAATATTCACTCAGAGGCTGGTGCTGTCACAGTCTCGGAATGGTGTCCTCTCTCTAACACCAAAAGTTTTGAGATTGAGGATAATGTAACAGATTGACTGCTTGGGTTGCCATTCAATCTCTGGGAGGAGGAAGTATTACAGTCAATAGCTATCATCTGTGATGCAAGACTAGATGGTGTCTTTGGTTATGATATTCATTCAGTTGCATTGAATCTAGGCGGAGTTAAACCCAGTGATATTCCAARGAAGATAGAGGTTGTTTCAGATGGTTTAGCATACCCTGTTTGGCTTGCTACTTCCATTGAAGCTCAGCTATGGAAGGAGGAACGAAGGGAGGAAGATGAAGGGACAGAACAAGCCTGTTTATGTGGGTTGCAAGGCAGAGTTGTTACTACAAAAGAGGCTAAGTCAATTGAGGAAACCAAGAAAGAAGAGAAAAAAAGAGAATAACATTAAGACTTGGGGAAAGTTTGCATGGAAGGGTACGCAGAGGGATGGCAGATCCTATGTTCAGACGGTGACAGGAGGCTTAAATGAAAACAGGCACGCGCAAGAGGTTCAAAATTCAAAAGGAGCTGAGCGAAGGTCAGTTAGAGATCAGGTTTCAAACCATTTTTGTGAGCTGGTTCAGTCTGGTCCAGTGAACCGAGGCCAATCACGTGAAGATTTAAGTGAACAGATGACTTTTAAAGAGGTTGGGGGACTGGGCCCAGGCCCATCTGAAAACAACCGGCCTTTAGTACTGGGCCAGCTTTATTAAAAGGGGTGGACCCAAGCCTTAACAAGCTGTGCACCTCTTTAAGAGGGCACGTGACCAAGGGAAGAGAGGAGATGATCTATGCAAAAGATGGTCCATCATTGTCCCTTTCGAGCAAGACAAACCTTCCACCGCTCGCAAGAAAAAATTTCAGCCTCGGTGGAACGGCAAATCCGAACTGGGTATGGGTTCCAAGCACTAAGAAAAAGGTTAACTCTCTGGAACGACGCAATCCGAGGTTTAAGAAGCACCCGACAACAGTGGAGACAGGGTGTTCATTTCTGGAGATGATAAATCAGAATGTTACGGACCCTTTTGAAGGCTGTGCGACGGAGAAAGAAGGTAGTTCGGAATCAGACTTTGAAGACTCCTCAAGTATTGGAAGTGTGGAACTTACAAAAACCAAATCACTTAGTGTTGATGAGAGCTTCCACATTGAGCTCTTATTTTTGGAAAATGATGACATGGAACATACAGATTTAGCCCAGAAGAAGCCCTCTCAAGCTCTTTCTTTACCTAAGGAAGCAGAGAATACCGCAATTCTTATAGGGGAGAAGCAGGGGATACCAGTTCCCAAATCTGCTCCCAATTCGCTAGAGCCATCCGGCATTGATAGAAGTTTAGAGGAATAGGACATATCTTGGTCACCGACCATAGAATCATCAATCAGGGGACAGAAAGAGGAACTAGAGAGAATTTGGGGACAGATTTGTGCTCTCCTTAAGGAGTATAGGCAAACAGAGGAATCTTTGGAGGAAAACCAAGGAATATTGGAGGCGCGAAACATAACAAAAGCAGTCTTAAGCAAATTTGGAATAGTTAACAACTGGAGGAAGAAGAAAAGATCAGAGATGGAGAGGTTGATCAGACATAGAAGATTTGGAATTTGGCGGAAGAGGGGAGAGAAGGAATGCCTCCAAGTAGGGGTCTGATCTCAAAGGGAGATGCCAAATCTTGTCTCCATGAAAATCATCAGTTGGAATGTGAGAGGGCTAGGGAGTGCTAGGAAAAGAAGGCTAATTAAGGACCTCCTTAGAAGGGAAAGGCTGGATATTGTGATGTTATAGGAGACCAAATTAGCTGAAATTGATAGAAGATGGGCAAGAAGCATCTAGAAATCTAGAGGAATAAGTCGGGTTTCTGCACCTTCTTGGGGGGCTTTGGGGGGTATTGCCACATTTTGGAGAGAGAATACTATGGAGGTATTGGAGGATTTGATAGGTAACTTCTCATTGTTGTTAAAATTCAGGATGGTAGAGGATGGATTTACTTGGGCACTAACTAATGTGTATGGACCAAGCAATTATAGAGAAAGGAATGAATTTTGGGAGGAACTTTATGGAATTCAAGGGCTTTGGGATGGTTTGTGGTGTTTGGGGGGATTTCAATGTAATTCGGTTTATGAATGAATCAAATAATCCCCAACAGGTCATTACAACCAGCATACGGAAATTCAATGAATTCATTAATAGTTGTGAGTTGAAGGAACTCCCATTGTTGCAAGCCCTCTATACTTGGTCCAACTTTTAGGAGGTACCAACCTGCTTCAAATTAGATAGGTTCCTATTCAATGAAAGTTGGGAAAACAAGTGGGTGGATTTGATAACTAGAGCTCTACCTAAAGTCACTTCTGACCATTGCCCCATTGGCCTAGGACAGGAGCCTTTTAGGGAAGGACCCCAACCCTTTAGGTTTGAAAACATGTGGTTGACTCACCCAGATTTCGTGAAAAAGGTTGAGGAATGGTAGAGAGAAGAATTAAAGGGGGTGAAGTGGAAAGCGGTAAGATTTCACAAAAAACTAAAAAGAATGAGAGCATATGTGAAGGATTGGAATAGGGAGCATTTTGGGAGAATAGAAGAAATGAAATCCTCTTTGGTAACCCAAATTTGGATGCGAAAGAATCCCAAAGAATCATAAACTCGCAGGAAAGAGACCGGGGATGGAAACTAAAAAGCGATCTAGATGAGGTCCTTTTGAGAGAAGAAATTTCTTGGAGGCAGAAGTCTAGATGTAAGTGGCTCAAGGAAGGAGAAGTGAACACTAAATTTTTCCATGAACTATCCAATGGAAGGAGAAGGAAAAACCTAGTATCCAAACTGAAAGTGGATGGGCTAGTCCTTGATTCCCAAGAGAGGATAGCCAATTGTTTTGTTGACCATTTCAAATCCATCTTGAGGAGACCCCTAGGACCTAGAGTGGAACTGGAAGGTGCAAATGGTAGAGGCTTCCAAAAGAGAGTAGAAGCTGATTGGAACGGAACTTTGAGGAGGAAATTAGACTAGCTGTTTTCTCCATGAACAGATCTAAAGCACCAGGGCCAGATGGATTTACTATGGCTTTATTTCAAGATTTTTGGGACATAGTCAAAGAAGATTTGATTGAGGTCTTCAAGGAATTTGAGGATAATTCAGTGATTAGTCGTGGAATTAATGCTTCTATTTTAGCCTTGATTTCCAAGAAGAAAGAGGCCAAACATCCAAAGGACTTTAGACCTATTAGTTTGGTGACTAGTGTGTATAAGATTGTGGCTAAGGTCTTATCTTTGAGGATTAAAAAGGTGGCCCAAGAGCTTTTGTTCATGGGAGACAAATAGTAGATCAAATTCTAATAGCAAACAAATGTGTGGAGGAGATGAAGAGATTGGGTCATCAAGGTTGTGTTTGTAAACTAGATCTGGAAATGGATAAACGATTTAGTGGAATGGGGTTTCTTGTGACTTGTGCTAAGTGTGGGTTCGGGGATAGATGGTGCAAATGGATAAACGATTGCCTATCCTCCCACCATTACTCCATCTTGGTCAATAGGGTAGTTAATGGTTTTTTTCCAGCTAGTAGGGGTCTGAGACAAGGCGATCCCATGCCACTTTTCCTATTCACTCTAGCTATCGATGCTTTCAATAGACTCCTCTCATAAGCAGATAGGGCTAGGTCTTTAAGAGGGTGGAAAATAGGTAGAGACAGAGTTTCAGTTACCCATCTTCAATTTGCAGATGATATAATAATCTTTTGTGAAGGTTGTGAATTGATGGAGGTAAGAAATCTGAAGGGTTTAATAATTCACTTTGAGAGGGCCTCAAATTTGAAATTGAAGATAAATTTTGAGAATAGCTATGTTGTTGGAATTAATCTGAACAGAGAGGAGATGGAGCCTAAAGTAGCCTGTTTAGAACGCACTTGGCCACAGTGGCCTTTATCCTACCTAGGACTTCCCTTAGGTGCTAATCCAAAGGAAAGTAGA